CTCCCAGCATTGTTCTATTTTATGAATAAGCAAAAGTAATTAATGAAACTTTGAATTTTGATGGCATATAAATGAGTAATTATTCCCTCTGCAAATGGATACATTATGAAATCCAGAGGAAAAATGTAGAATGAAAGCTTAATGTCTCTGCCTTAACTTTCCTACTTATACAACATGGATACAAATATCTCCCTTGTGTAGTTCACAGGGTTTTTGTGAGTCACAAATGAGATAATAATAATAGCAAAAACATCTGTATCTCCTTCTATGTGCTAGGCTTTGCATAAATGTTATTTAATCCTTACAGTAACCCCATTACGCAGATATTATTATCCCTATTTTACAGATGAGGAAACTGGTAAATAGAGAAGTTCAATAATTTGCCAAATGCCACATAAATATAGAATAGTAAAGTTAGGATTTGAATCAGACTGTGGAATCACCATACTACATATGGGAAAAATGTTTTACAAACTTAAAGCACTATATAAATTTGAATTATTCTTCAAGCATTTGTAATTCTAGAATGGGTGATTATGTGGGGACAATATGTAGTTCTTTTAAAATTAATGAAAAATGACTTACAGGTAAAGGTGTTCCAGCTGAAATGTTACATCTCAGTTCTATGGAATGTGAATAATTGATTTACAATAAAATATTGACCGCTCACTGTGTTAGAGCATTGTCACAGTGTTTGTTGGAATGAATGAGTTGCATCAGGTCATGAGCCTTAAAAACATCTTAGAATCAAGTAGTATTGATGTGTGTGTATGAATAAGATAGAATGACCTCTCCATATGACCTCACTTTGTGTGTGTGTGTGTGTGTGTGTGTGTGTGTGTAGGATGTGAAAGCTTGAAGTTTGGCAAAAGATTTCACCAAGAGACTTGGAGTTGTATTTAAAAAGTTAAATCTAGAATATATGTAATTACGTACAAAAGAAACTCCAAACTTCATGCTTATCCTGGCAGAGTAGCTAGCTTTTGCTTAATTTTGATAATTTACACAAGGTATGCACAGGGTATGTATTTTTTGCATAAATTAGCAAGACATTGACTTACCTATGCCTTGACTATGTCTGTAAAGACTTTTTACAAATGTCACAATTCACTCACTAAAAAAAATGTATCTTCTTGATTTTCTGTTATGAGAAGTAAAATAGTTGCCATTTTTGAATTCCGAGTTTCCAAAGTTAGTTAAGAAGCTCGACTCTTCATAGAGAGGCTGTCTTCAGCTTTACGTTTCGTCTTACCTTACTATAACCCTTAAACTGCTCTTCCTGAGTACATGATATCCTTTCAAATTGGTTTGTCCCAGAAATCATTTTGGCAAAATGTTTCTTTTCACGTGAATTATCTAGAATAGAGAATGACCTTCATTATTTCACTCTGCTGATGTAGTCCTGCCCTAAATTGACTTGCTGGTACAGCCAGAAATAGACAGTAAGCATTTCCAATATAATCGGTCCCTTGGTGAGGACTCAAAACCCATTTTTTTTCTTCCAATGCAAAGTGCTGCCTTCATTTACATGAAATATGAAAAATGTTGTTATATTACTTGGACTCCTTTTTTTTAATCTCACATATTTATTATTCATGGTGAGAACACTTAAAATCTACACTCCTAGAAATTTTCAAAGTATACAGGATATTGTTATTAATTATAGTGACCGCGTTACACAATAGTTTCTTGAAATTATTCCTACTAAACTAAACTAACTTGAACTAAAATTTTGTATCCTTTCACCAATCCTTGCCTCCATCCCCCTACCCCAATAACCACCATTCTACTTTCTGTTTCTACAAGTTCAACTTTTTTAGATTCCACATACAAGTGAGATCATGTGGTCTTTGTCCTTCTGTGCCTGGCTTATTTCATGTAAAATAATGTCTTTCAGGTTTATCCATGTTGTCATAAATGACAGAATTTCTTTCTTTTTAAAGGCCGAATAGCATTCCATCACGAGTATATACTACATATCCTTTATGCATTCGATTATGGCTGGACACTTCTGTTGATTACCTTGAATATGTTGAATAATGTTGCAATGATCATGGCAGTGCAGATATCTCTTCAACATACTGATTTCATATTTTTTGGATATATATCTGGTGGTGGGAATTGCTGGATTATGTGGTAGTTCTATTTTTATTTTTTTGAGGAACTTCCATATTGTTTTCCCTAATGGCTGTACTAACATTCTCACCAACAGTGTGCAAGGATTCCCTTTCTGTACATCCTCACCAATACTTGTTTTCTATTTTTTTAATAATAGGCATTCTATCAGGTGTGAGGTGGTAGCTCATTGTGGTTTTAATTTGCATTTCTCTTATGACTACTGATGTTTAATTTTTTTTATATATATACCTGTTGTCCATTTGTATGTCATCTTTTGAGAAATGCCCGTTCAGGTCCTTTTCTCATTTTTAAATTGGGTTATTGTTTTCTCGCTATTGGGTTGTTTGAGTTCCTTATGTATTTTGGAATATTAATGTCATCAGCTGTCTGGTTTACAAATATTTTCTCCCATTCCATAGATTCTCTTCACTCTGTTGCCTGTTTCCTTTACCGTGCAGAAGCTTTAGTTTGTTGTAATCTCATTTCTATTTTTGCTTTTGTTGCCTTTGCTTTTGGGTCATATTAAAAAAATTATTGCCTAACCAATGTCATGGAGCTTTTCCCTGTGGTGTTCTAGTAGTTTTACAGTTTCAGGTTTCATGTTTAAGTTTTTAATCCATTTTGAGTTAATTTTGTGTATGGTGTGAGATAAGGGTTTGATTTCATTCTTCTGGATGTTGGTATACAGTTTCCCCAATACCATTTATTGAAGAGACTGTCCTTTCCACGTTTGTATATTTGGCATCTTTTTTGAAAATCAATTGACCATAGATGTGTGGATTTATTTCTGAGCCCTTTTTCACTGGTCTATATGTCTGCTTTTATGCCAATATGATGCTGTTTTGGTTACCATAGCTTTATAGTATATTTTGAAATTGAGTAGTGTGATGCCTTCAGTTTTGTTCTTTTTGCTCAAAATTACTTTGTCTATTTGGGTTTTTTTGTGGCTCTGTATGAATTCTAGAATTGTTTTTTCTTTTCCTGTGAAAAATGCCATTGGAATTGTGATAGGCATTGCTCTGAATCCCTGTCACTGTGGGCAGTAGGTCACTATTGACAGTATGGATCTTTAATGAGATTAATTCTTCCAATCCATGAACGCGGGATATTTTTCCATTTATTTGTGTTTGAAAACCTGGAATAATTTTATTTATGGGAGAAAATTATTCAGTATGTTAGGCTGATGCTGTCAGAGTGATATACAATAACTGTTCCAGTGAGAGTCTGGCAGGAGACAGCACACTGAAAGGGATGATAAAAGAGTTTATTAAAGAGTCTATTTATGGAGGTGTGGGCAAGGTTAAGAGAACACATAAATGATGGAAGGTACCAGAGTCTCATGACAGGGGGATGCAGTTCCACTGCCTAAGGCTCAAAGGGGAAAAAGGGCCAGTAGCACTTTGGAGAGAGTTGTATAGAAAAAAACTGACTTTTGTGTATTGATTTTTCTATCCTGTTACTTTACTGATTTCAGTTGTTCTTTTTTTTATTTCAGAATATTATGGGGCACATATACTTTGGTCACATAATTGCCTTTGCACAGCCCTAGTCAAAGCTACAAGCGTGCCATCCCCCAGACAGGGTGCCCCACACCCATTAGGTGTGAATTTACCCATTCCCTTTGCTCCCCTCCCACCTGCCCAATCCGTGATGAGTGTTACTTTCATATGTGTACGTGAGTGGTGATGGATTAGCACCAATTTAATGGGGAGTACATGCGGTGTTTGATTTTCCATTCTTGTGATACTTCACTTAGAAGAATGGGCTCCAGCTCCATCCAGGATAATACAAGAAATAGTTCACCATTTTTTTTAATGGCTGAGTAGTACTCCATGGTATACACATATCACATTTTATTAATCCACTCTGTGCATTCAAACTTCTCTGCTAATGATAATCTGTATTTGCAGCCACTCCCCAGTGCCAGCATCACTGCCTCAGCTCCACCTCAGATCGTCAGGCGTTGGATTCTCATAAGGGGAGCACAATCTAGATCCCTCGCATGCGCAGTTTACAGCAGGGTTCATGCTCCTATGAGAATCTAATGCCTCAAATGATGTGAGAGGAAGTGGTGGGGATCAGGCAGTGACGTGAGCGATGGGGAGCAGCTGTAAATACAGATGAAGCTTCACTTGCTCGCCTGCTATTCACATCCTGCTGTGAGGCCTGGTTCCTAACAGGCCGCAGACCAGTACCAGCCCATAACCAGGGCTGGGGGACTGCAGTTCTAAAGCATCTTTCATATAACTGAGCTAAGTATCCTGTTGTTTGTTCTGTAGTGTTTTAAACCAATTCCCTTTGTTGACTATTTAGGTGATTTTTATCTTTTAAAAATTGTAAACTGTGCAGAGGTGAAGATCCCAGTAGATAAATCCATATTCACAACCATGATTATATCCTTAGAATAAACTTCTAGAAATGACATTACAGTGCCAAAGAATATGCACATTTAAAAACAAAATTGATACATGTTGCCCTGCTCACCTGTGATCCAAAAAGGCAGTTGCCAACTCATATGCCCACTGGCTATGTATGAGAGTGTGTATTTTTTCACACATTTGCCCAGGACACAAACACTCTCCCTCTGTGAATGTTAGTAGCTTGCCTCACTTTGATGAGGCAAAGTTATAAAATGTAACCAAAATGTTTGTACCCTCATAATATCCTGAAATAAAAATTAAAAAAAATATTAGTAGCTTGATTTCATCATTATATACCCCCCCACACACATACATACTTATGTGTGTATGATTATATATCTATAATCATTCTTACTTACAGAATATAATTTATCTTATGAACACATTAACCTGTCATATTAAGTGAGTTTGAAAACATATACTTTGTGCCCATACCTAAATATAATTGTTTTCACTTCCCAGGTGCCTGCATGAACATCACCCACAGCCAATGTCAGATGTTGCCCTACCACATCACATCAGCACCACTTTTCTCAATTGTCAAAAACATGGAAATGGAGAAGTTCCTCAAGTTCTTCACGTACCTCCACCGCCTCAGTTGCTATCAACATATCATGCTATTTGGCTGCAGCCTGGCTTTCCCTGAGTGCATCATTGATGGTGATGACAGGTATTTTGGAACCCAAATCATTCAGTGATAAGAGCCAGTTATAGCAGAAATATCTGAAAGGAACAAAATCATCCTATACTATCACCTTTCATTTTTGTTATTAAAGAAGAAAAAAAACTCTCATAGCCGATTGTAATTGTTTGAAACTAGAAATGTTTCAAAAACCTGGAATAACTTTATTTATGGGAGAAAATTATTCAGTATGTTAGGCTGATGCTGTCAGAGTGATATACAATACCTGTTCCAGTGAGGGTCTGGCAGGAGACAGCATACTGAAAGGGGTGATAAAAGAGTTTATTAAAGAGTCTATTTATGGAAGTGTGGGCAAGGTTAAGAGAACACATAAATGATGGGAGGTACCAGAGTCTCATGACAGGGGGATGCAGTTCCACTGCCCAAGGCTCGAAGGGGAAAAAGGGCCAGTAGCACTTGGAGAGAGTTGTAGCTATGTGCAAGGGGTCTCCTGCGGGCCAAGTGCCATGACCCTTGGCAGGGGAGCATAGCCACTGCCAGCCCTTGAGTCATGCAGGGGAAGAGAAGGAGCAAATGCTCTGATCTCACTTTGCTCCTGCTCTCCCATCAGCCAGTGCCTTCCACCAACTGAACTCACCCACAACCAGAGAACAAGGGCCCACAACTGATGTGAGTGCAGTGGATGAAATTCAGAATATCAACTACATGTCATAAGCTCAAAAGTCCAAAATCTTACCATCTAAATCAAATATGAGTGAGAATCTGGATGGTTCTTTAGATCTAACAGGTGTGTGTGTGTGTGTGTGTGTGTGTGTGTGTGTGTGTGTGTGTGTGTGTGTGTGTGAAATCTTTAGTGTTATTTATATGTAAGATCGTCTCATTTGTAAACGAGCAGTTTAACTTTTTCTTTTCCAATTTGGATGCCTTTTATTTATTTCTCTTGCCTAATTAGCTAGGATTTTCAGTACTATGTTGACTAGAAGTGATGAGAGTGGCATCCTAGTGTTGTTTTGGATCTTAGAAGAAACACTTAGTTTTTCTCCATTGAGTGTGATGTTAGCTGTGAGTTTTTCAGTTTTATTGGGTTGTGGTACTTTCCTTCTATACCTGATTTGTTGAGTATTTTTTTTTTTTTTTATCATGAAAGGATGTTAAATTTTGTCAAATGCTTTTTCTGTATCTATTGAGATGATGATATGTTTTTGTTCTTCATTCTGTCAATGTGATGCATCATGGTTATTGATTTGCTTATTTTAAACCATCTTTGCATACCTGCAAAGAATCCCACTTGACCATGATGAATGATCTTTTTGTTGTGATGTTGAATTTGGCTTGCTAGTATTTTGTTGAGGATTTTTGAATCTGTGCTCATCAAAGATACTGACCCGTTTTCTTTTTTTGTTGTGTACTTGTCTGGTTTTGGTGTCATGGTGATGCTAGCCTCACAGAATGAGTTTGGAAGTATTCCCTCCAATTCAATTTTTTGGAAGAGTTTGGGAAGAACTGGTATTAGTTTGTCTTTAAATGTTTGGTAGAATTTGGCAGTGAAGCCATCTAGTCCTGGGCTTGTCTTTGATAGACTTTTTAATTACTGTTTGTATCTCATTACTTGTTATTAGTATGTTAAAATTTTCTATTTCTTCATAATTCAATCTTGGTAGGTTGTAAATATCAAGGAATTCATTCATTTCTTCTAGGTTATCCAACTCGTCATATAATTGTTGATAAAGTTTCTATAGTCCTTTGTATTTCGTAGTATCAGTTTTAATGTCTTCTTTGAATTGCATTTTCAAGTGCAAATAGCTTCCATGTTATTCATACTAATTTAAGCAATATATAAATTATGCCTTCAATAGGGCAAAAGCATTTATTATTTTAACTGAAAAATCCTGCATTGTCATAGCTTCAAGGTAAAAAAAAAAAAAAAAAAAGTGAGTTTCTTAATTGTAGAAGTAAGTAAAGAACTGTTAGCAGACCCATTATTCAAGAAAACATTTCATGGTAAACTATCAATTGAAGAGGTTGCTTTCACAGAATTTTAAACTAAACTAACATCTTAAGCCCCCTAGCTGACTGACTGGATGCTCTCTGGGCAAGAGGACCCCAGAAATACCCAGAAGCTGAGTTGCTGGCCATGAGAAGGGAGGCCAGACATGCCTCATCATGCCCCCTCCCTTCTTGGAGATATCCTTTGTCAACTCATTATCAGGCCTAAGTCTGTACAAGACAAAGCTTAAATTACTCAACAGATCACTTGAGTTTTGAGTTTTGGTAAATATCAGGTGGCTTTTCTCTGATTAACAGACATCCAAGCCTTTAGACAAAATTTCATTTCTTTAACCAATTACAAATCAAAGAGTCTTTAAACCCACCTATAACCTGTAAGCCATGTCCACATGCCCCGCCCCCTTGAGGTATCCTGCCTTTTTGGCGAAACCAATGTACACCCTCCACGTATTGACTTAAGGTCTTACGTGTAGTTCTTGTCTCGATGAATGCATAAAACCAAACTGTAATCCAGCTACCACTGGCTCATTTTCTCAGGACCTCCCGAGGCCATGCGCTTAGAGCTGATCACACACATTGAATTCAGAATAAACTTCTTTAAATTGTTTTACAGAGTTTGGGTTTTTTTCCATTAGCAGTATAAATAGAAGTTTTATTAGATCTTTCCCATGACTTAAAATTTGGGATGGTAGTAAGGAGGTCTTTTATGTTCTTAGACTGTGGCAATATAACATGATAATTGTATTTCCTAGGGCTGCCATAACAAATTAGGTGGGTGGCTTAAACAACAGAAACTTATTCTCTCCCATTTCTGGAGGCTCGAAGTGCAATTTTGTCAAGGCCATGCTGTCTCCGAGGGCTCCAGGGTAGAATTGACTTCCTTCCTTTGCCAGGTTCTGGTGGTTTTAGACATTCCTTGACTTGTAGCTCCATCATTTTCATCTCTGCCTTCATCTTCACATGGCTTTCTCTGTATGTGTGTGTCCTTTCGCCTTTTGTCTCTTATAAGGACACTTGTTATTTATTAGGGTGAAGGGAAAACTTCCCTTCTGCCCTCAAAAGGGTTGCCGAAAAATCAACTCACAACAAAGCAGATTAATAAGAGAAAAGCCATGGAAATTTTAATGTTACCCTTGGCACAGGAAGAACACAGAGTGCTTGCCTAATATCCCAATGAGACTAAAATACTTAAATATCTTAATTTTAGAGGAGACAAAGGAGATGTGGAATATAAGTAATTCAACTGAAGGGCAATAAATGATTACTAGGGAAGATGCGTAGATACTTGAGAAAATGAACAGATAGGGGAAAACAGATTGACTTGTAAATGAATCTCTTTGGAAATTAAATTAATTTGAGAGACAGGCATTATTTTTAAAAAGGATTGGGTCAGATCTGGTTATATTTTTGATCTTCTTTCCTGCAGTAGATATTGAGATAACAGGGAGGGGAAAGTAAGACAATTGTTCTTGATGAGTCCCTCTGGTCTTTATGGAGATAGACTGAAAGCCCCTTCCAAAGCCTGTCGATCTCTGAGGGCCTTTAATTCAAAATACTCTTTATACTAAGGAATCATTTTTGGGGGTGAAGTTTCCTGTATTCCTGTACATTGGATTTAGTGCCCCCACACACAATCCAGATGATGGTACCATCATCTCAAGATCCTTAATTACGTCTAGGAAGACCTGCTTCCCAAATAAGGTAACATTCACAAGTTTTAGGAGTTAGGACATGGACGTTTCTTTTGGGGGCCACCATCCGACACACTGTAGCAGTTGAGAAAGCAGGCTAAGGAGCCACATGCCACAGGCCCCTCATCTGCTAAAGGGAGATAGTGATGAGGATTAAATAACAGACAGGGCTTGGAACAGTGCCTGGTGCTGGCACTTCCATAAACGTCAGCAACAGTTATAAAACAAATAGTGAATTTAAAAGGACAGGTAGTACTAATAAGAAACAGGAAGAAAAAGTATGTCGAACATATGCTAAGTATGCTGCAAAGTATCAAAGGATTGCAAAAAATGTAGAATACTATATGGATAAAAAAAAATCGGGGAGAATACTCAAGGCTCCTGGAGCTGGATTCTGGTTCCATTTCTGCTTAATTTCGAGCAATTTCACTTACGTCTCTTTGCTTTAACTTCTCTGCAGGCTCCGTGTACACTTAAACAAGACAGTAAAAGAGTACATTCAGCTTCCAGGTGTCTCTAAATTCATTTTGATCATCGTCCTTATTATAATTAAATCTACGAGGGCTGGCCAGAGAGCATCCAGCCAGGTAATATGAAAAATAGTATTAGCGATGGTTGGATACTTTCCAGACAGCCCTCGCGTAATTGAATTACCAGTTGTAAATTCTAGTTAAGCTGCTCATAGTTTTCAAGTCACTTTTAGGTAACATTTGTTTTTCCCCTGACTTGGTTCATCCTGATAAGTAGGCTAATATGAGAATTTTCGATTTTCTATTAGATAACAATATCCATTATTATATTGGTTTTCAGGCATCCTTTGGAGACTTATTTTTTATTATTACGTTTATTTTTATATTTAGTTTTATAATTGCACTTTCAGGCCAGTGCTTCCTGCTGTCATTTAGTGTGTGCATAGGATCTGCAAGCTAAATTAAGTAAAATAAGTTTATAAAAGTAAAATGTATTGTAAAAAAAATTTTTTTTCTTACATTTCAGTATTTTGTATCATCCATGATACTAATTTTCTCTACTATCCAAATAATGGAGAATTGCTTATATTCCATCCAAGAGAAAATAGCTACTTAATAACACTTAAAATTTAATTTTGAAAGATTATAATGGGATGTACAAATGGTATAGTTTTCAACCTGACTCCTTTGAGACCTGTTACTCACTATATTATATGTTATCACAATGAAACTTAACAGTTTCTACTTTAGACTGTGAGTGCTTTTAATAAATGCATGTGCTGTAACACAGGCTAATTGGAGTGTAATTTATATGGATTCAGTGAAAATATCTCAAAATATGGAGATTTAACTGATAAAC